TGTTATAGTCTCTGCCCATTTACTTATATGGGCTTAGACTTTTTCTTTTCATATTAGTTACTCTGTATGTAAATATCAAGTGTCTAAATGACTCACCCTCACCAATGTCTCCCTCCAAAAAACAGAAAACCTTGACCAAGTTTAAGTCCTAACAAAGTGGGTAAATATCTTTACAGCCAATATATCAGAGGTTCAATTTTTTATCTAGCTAAATATCTTCTTAGATCTTTTCATCGTGTGAGCGGCAAAGTTCAGTCTCTTACAAGAGACACAAGGCTATCGCAGTGGTTGTTAAAAAGCGGACCGTGCCGTAACAAGAGCCGCCCTCTGGCTTCTGAAGGGGCCCAGGACGTTTGCTTCTGCTCTCGCTGGGCCTTCATCTGTTACTTCTTGTTGTTATTAATATTTATACCAGTTAAGTAGCCACCATGTACTTTATCAGAAGTAGTTAAATTTCTTAAAGGATCCTGAAAAGGAAAAAGAAGGTGTTAACAAGTGTTTACAGTTTCAATATTTGTATATTCAGTAGTTATCTTTACATTTTTACTGTTCAACAGAAAGTGGATCCAAATAAAATGTTGTATATTTGACCTCATGCTACTGGGTCAGGGTCGATGCTATGATTTATTTACCTCATGGATAGACAAGTGTCATTACTGTGGGATCATTTGAGTCTAAACAGTATCTTTTCTTGCAGGGCCTTTCCCTCAAAACCTTCTGGAGATTCTTATTTTTGGCTCTAATACCTCTCTTGTCAGAAGCTAATGGGAAATACACGATGTCTGTATCTGAAACTGGAGCAACTGCTCCTCTGGCCTCGGGGGTTCCTCCATATCCAGAAGGGGGCTAGAAAAGAAGGGCAAATGTGGGAGAGATTGTGGCACTGGAATCTAGTGTATGACTTGGCAGTATGTTACTGGATATGGCAGAATCAGTTGAAATTACAACAACAGAGGTTGCTATTATTGTGCTAGTACTTGCAACAATGCTCAAGAAAGTATTATGCTTCCCACTTTACAAATGGGGAAACTGAGACTCAGTTTGTCTTTCGTTCAAGGTGAGCCCAGGTACAGTATACACATGAAGAAGGCAAATGTAACCTTGGACACGGCCAATTTAAGAGAGAAATATCTTGTTAGATACTTCAAACAGTAATTTCAAGAAGCAAGTTTGGAACTTGGTAGAGATGATAGGGCTAAAGAAATAGGTTTGGAGAATCTTGTGCATACAGGTGATTGTTAAAATAGAAGAGGTTTGCTGATGATGTATTATGGAGTCGCTGTGGTGGTAGAGTATAATTAATTGCTCGCCCATGCAGGGCTCCCTGCCACTGCCTGGAAGCATAAGTTTTGCTTAAGGAAGGTTGCAGAAAATGGATATGAGAGGTGGTGTAATAGGTAGATTTTGTCAGTCCTCTCCCACTTCATCACTCTGTTGGTAATGATGCACTGCTATAGATTCTAAGGGTAGGGGGATAGCCACACCCTTTAGAAGATGCTTCAGAGTCTTCACTTACGTAGTTTGAAACCCCTATTCCCAGTGATTCTATGTCCCTTACAGTACATTTTTTCAGAATCGTTGTCCGAGACCCATGGAGAAAGAGCAGGGATTGTTGCTTTTATTCCTCCTGGTAAAGAGATATCCTTTTTATTACCTGATTAGTTGGGGGAAATAACAGAAGAAATACATGAGCCCCTTTACTAGTACAAGGAAGAGATTCCAAGGAAGTGACTTAACTGTGAGGAATGTTTATTTCAAGGACACAGCAGCAGTTGTGCTCTGACTGTGGCTGTTTCTTCCCCACAGGCCCTCCACAGGTGCCTCTGCTCACTCTCTGCCGCTCACTTCCAACTGACCCAAGCTTGGTGGGACGTCCTTATTGTTCAGCCTTCGAGTTAGGCCTGGAAATCTTGTCCAGTCTGCACCACTAATTTGGCTGTAGGCCCAAGATTTTACATGCCACAATGAATTACCTGAGGCTATATTTCTTCTGAGGTAGCAGTAGGCAGGCAATTATGAGGCTTCACAGTCTATCTGGAAAAATTTGCAAATAATCTGCTTTTTCAAGATGAACTTTGTATTCATGGTCAGTGAATCATGTGATATGGTTGGCAGTGGCTAATGGAGGGGCAGGGTATGTTGGAATATGTGTGTTTGAAAAATGTATAATAAGAATCACCAGAAGGATTTGTTTGTTTGTTTGTTTGAAACTATAGGACTATTCCAATTCTGCTTGGAGGATGAGCTACACCTCCACAAGGAGATACTGCTACCAAAAGGAGTATGTCATAATCCTCATGTATGTTAGGGCAGAAAAAGAGTTGGGAAGCACAGATCTAGGAAGTGTCATTCAGCTTGAGGTCCAGAGATGTTTCTAAATTACATACATGACTTCTGGTAAAGATGGCAGCATAGGCAGACATGGCTCATCACTTTGCACAACCATATCAAAATTACAACTAAAATATAGAACTACCACCACTCAGAACCATCAGAAATTGAGTTGAATGGAAGCTACAACTATAGAATTTAAGAAACCACATCCATCCAGACTGTTGTGGGGCTCGCAGACAAGGAATGAGCTGGTCCCTCACCCATATGTGGTAGATAAAAATTCCAGAGGGATATCTGGGGAGCAAGGAATCCTAGCCCTACACCAGACCCCCAGCCCAACATCCCAGAGCCAGGCAGATAACTCCCCACAACTTCTGACTGCAAAATCCAGCAGGGATTTAGTCAGTGGAAGAAACTGCTAGATCCCCAATCAGTTCCTCTTAAAGAACTCACACACAGACTCACCTACTCAGACTCACTCCCTCTGAGCTCCAACACAGGGCAGCAGCTTGAAAGGCACCAGTGCCATACAGGGAGGAACTGAAGTGTCTGGCATCAAGACGAGCAGAGGCCACTGTCCTTTTTCTAAACCCTATTTGAAAACCTATATGATACCTATATGAAAAAATAATGAAAGAACACATCCTTAATTTTGTGAAGGAAATAGACATGCAAGTCCAGGAAGCACAGAGAATCCCAAACAAGATGGATGCAAAGAGGCCCACTCCAAGACACATAATTAAAATGCCAAAGGTTAAAGATAAAGAGAGAATCTTAAAAGCAGCAAGAAAAACACAGTTGATTACCTATAAGGGAGTTCCCATAAGACTGTCAGCTGATTTCTCAAATGAAGCATTGTGGGCTAGAAAGGATTGGCAAGAAATATTCAAAGTCATGAATAGCAGAGACCTACAGCCAAGATTGCTCTACCCAGCAAAGATACCATTTAAAATCAAAGGGTAGATACAGTGCTTCCCAGACAAGAAAAATCTAAAGGAGTTCACTATCACCAAACCAGTATTATATGAAGTGTTAAAGGGGACTTATTTAAAAACATCAAAACTATGAACAACAAAATGGCAAAAATACATATCTATCAACAATTGAATCTAAAAAAACTGCACAAACAAGGACAAGAGACAGAATCATGGAGAGTGTTTTGATGGTTGCCAGATGGGAGGGGAGTGTGGGGAAATCAGGGAAGAGGTGAGGGGATTAAGAAGTATAAACAGGTAGTTACAGAATAGTCATGGGGATGTAAAGTACAGTTTAGGAAATGGAGTAGCCAAAGAACTTACACTCATGGTCCGTGGACACGGACAATGGTGTGGGGATTGCCTGAGGGAGTTGGGGGTGCTGGGTGGAGGGGGCAAAGGGCGAAAAATCAGGACAACTGTAATAGCATAATCAACAAAATATAATTAAAAAATAAATTACATACACATACTCACTATTGCATGCTTTTCATCTATGAGCAACTTTCTCATACTGTTTAATTTTCAGAATAATTCTCATTTTAAGTGATCGGCAGTTTTGATATGGGGAAAGAATCAATGAACAGAGAACTATATTTGTATAGGCTTTTTTTTTACAACAAATGCACAATGTGTTTTCAAGAAAATGAAGGAAATGCTCATTTTTGCACATGCCATCAATCTTTAACAATCAAAAATTCATTTGGCAAGAGAAGTGGTGCAGCTATTCAAAATTCTGGTTATTGTTACATTGTTTTGTTGACTGTAAACCTGGCTCAAAGTTGGTAAATATAGTGTAGCAGAAATTGAACTGTTGTGAGCTACCTGGGCATTTGTCCAAGATACCATTAAAAATACTGCCTCAGACTAATTTGAATTTATGAATAATATTTTGTTAACAGCTCAACTGAAATTGAGCCACATGGTGTAGCTTAAAAATTCTGAATTCACAAGATAATAAGAGTAGTATAAGTATATCCTGCATACTTAATATTGGATATCTAAGTGATAAATTTATATACAATTTTATGTCAACTTTTAAACTGTAAGCACCCAAATGTGTAATATAATCTGATATCTTTAAAGTTTACTTAGTAATGTCATTTGTTCTTATTTGAATGCTTTATAAAGTAAAACATTATTGGTTTATACATCAAGCCTGAAGAATAAGGAGAGGTTGCAGAACAGGTATTAAAAGGGACATTCAACACTGTTTTTGACATATGGATGTGCAAATAGCTAGAGTTTACACTAACATTCACCAAGAAATTGAAGGACATGAAGTTCTTAGAAAGGTCCAGTGACTTATTTCATTTATTTTACTAATGAAAGATTATGATTATAACTTAAAATACATTATTAAGGTTATTAATGTTTGGTTATAAATTATTAATTGTATTAGATATAATAAAGGAAATGAGGTTATGGTGAAGTGACCCATAATAAAATCTACCTTTAGATGTTTCTTGCCAATAAAAGATATACTTGTCTTTTTCTTTGTGTGCTATTTTAATTGGATTAAGTTCTTTCTGGACGTATAATATATAAACTCCCATTGAAAGGGTATGAGAAGAATTGATTTGTGTCACTACTAAGTGTGTAAAATATTTTTGTAGTATAAAGGTGTGTGTATGATCTAAAGAATTAATTTTAAATATTTTTCTTTTCAATAAATATCTTATTCATTTTCAGGTTAGCACTCTACGTATATGAATATCTGCTCCATGTAGGAGCTCAGAAATCGGCCCAAACATTTTTATCAGAGGTATGTTTTATATATTTTCTTCATTGTGTTTTCACATCTTATATAAGTAAATGAAAAATATACTGTAACAATTATTTGAAAGAAATTAATCCTTATTATTATACAGTGAGTGCTCAGTTATCAATGTGGACATTATAGTCTTTGTAGATTATTTATAAATAGTTTTAATATCCCAGAGTGTCATTTTCATACAGTCTAGACATTTCCCCCTTAGAAATGGAAACGGATATTAGCCTTGGCAAAAATAATCAAGAAAGCAAATTTGCTTCTTTAAAAAAAAAAGACAAGCACCATCATTTCTCTAGTGCCAGCAATATCTTATTTTGGCATTATTTACAATTTTGGAAAATCCGTTTTTGTTTGTTTGAATTTTGTAGGAATAATAGCAAACTGATGGCTAGATTGAAAACTTTGATGATATTTTAAGTTCTTGTTTCTCTATTTTTCTCCCTTACATTTTTGTAAAGGAGGCCTTGGATTTGAACTTTTTGCAATTACATAATAATGAGATTGAGGAGGATTTTATTTAGTTTTATAATGTGCAGACACATTATTTGCCAAGGTGCTTTACATATATTATCTCTGATTCTTATGAGATTTACAAGGCAGAGGGTATTATTTCTGTTTTACTGATGGGAACTATAGGGATCAGAGAGTTTCTGTAACTGGCTCATGGTCACACAGCTTACAGCCAGAATTCAAACCTAGGTGTATGTTAATTTTAAAGCTCTTGGTTTCCCCTTATATCTGTGCTGTCCTGTGATGGCCCCTAGCTGTATATGCCTTTTTGAGCACTTGAAAAATGACTACTGCAATTAAGAAGTGCTATCAGTGTGAAATGCACACTGGATTTTGAAGACGTAGTATGAACAAAAGAATATAAAATATTAATAATTTAAAATTTTTAATCATACATCAAAATGGTAATATTTTAGATATATTGGGTAAAATTAAAAATGTTCTATTAAAATTTATTTTACTCTTTTTTGCTTTTTAAATGTGGAATTTGAGATGCTTGCTCACAGAATAAAAAAAGTTCGTTGTTTTACCATAGAAAGAATACGTTCAGTGAAATAAAAAATTGATTTCAAAGTTAATTCAAGTCAAAAGAGAAGTTTAATGTATATTTATCATATTAAGTTATTAATTAGAAGATTTTGGTCTGTGAGCTTTCTAAGTCACATTTACTGTGATATGGCAGAGTAAATGATTGAGATCTCAAAAGGATGTCCTCTTAACATTTGTACTGTTGATCACCACTGACCTATATAGTATAGTTAGAAGAAATTAGGCTGGCTACAAAGATTTTAAATTTTTATTTTAATGCAATTGAGTACTTGATGAAACAACAAAGGAATTTTCTCTTTTTTAAACTTTTATTTGTTTATTTTTAGACAAAGGGGAAGAGAGAGAGAAAGAAAAACAGCCATCCTTTGCCTCTGGTCCCCAACTGGGGACCTGGTCCACAAGTCAGGCAGGTGCCCTGACTGGGAATCAAGCTGGCAACCTTCCTTTCACAGTCTGGTGCTCAGTCCACTGAGCCACACCAGCCAGGGTGGGGTTCTCTGATCTCTTTCCTTAGATTAAGGACAATTTTGAAGTGGCTCAATTTGTTGAATCCTCAGGGAGACCGAAGATTATATCTTCTTACGAACATTATAATATATCATATACAGTAATTAATAAATTTCATCCCAAAAGAAAATTATTGGCTAACTTATGTAAGGATATTCAGATTTTTGGACTAAACTGGGTTAAATGGATGTAGCAGATAACTAGTTGTTCTACTGGTATTGTTACTGAACAGAGGTCCAAGGGGCGGGGCAATATTTGACCCACCTAGGGACGTCAAAAACTGCTACAGAACAACAGGGGCCCCTCCTAAGGACTGAATACTAATATCTACTTGCTCTTCTGTCCACCACCAATTGGAAAGACATCTCTCAATGCCAGAGATTTGTGAAAAAGGAAATGAAATGTTTATTTAATGCTATTCAGGCTTTATACCTCCATTAAAATATCAAAGTCCTTTAGGGTATACACCTACACACACAGCGCTCCCTTCTCCCACTGTCCCAAGTCTGGGTACCGTAACTCAGGAAGAGAGCACACGTCTGTTTTTCCAGGCCGCTGGTATCGTCAGCTATGTTGACTGTCCCGGCAGGATCTCTAGTTAATCCAAAGTACTGTGGTACCCTCTCATGGTCCACTGGTAAGAGTTCTTTGTACTAAGTTCCAGTCAAAGTCTCTCCTGCTTTCCAGGCCACGCAGCCAAAGGGGGCACCCCAAAGCCATGTGGGCCTCTTCTACCAAAGTTGCAGGGGTCAGCACTCTGACCAAAAGCATGTGGCTTTCTTCTTCACCTGGCTGCAGGGGTCTGCACTCTTCCAAAACAGCATGGCTCTCCTCTCCACCTCACCAAGAGGGGATCCTTACTCTGCTGAAACCTTGTGGCTCTCCTCAATGGCTGCAGGGGTCTATACTCTGGCCAAAACCGCATGGTTCTCTTCCATGGCTGTCACATCTGGGTTTAAATCTCTGCGCCCATCCTCCATTTCCAACTCCTCCTACAATCAGTTACACCTGCCAGTATTTCTGTATTATTACAAGTTTACTGGGCTGCCATCATTAGTCTGGGCAGGTATGGCCCCAAGGCATGGAGCCAATCAACTCCAAGCTCTCTTGCAGGCGCTGTAACTCGGGACCAGCCCCCAGTTACATCCTGGGTAGAAGCCACTCCCTTCTCCCTGGCTCAAAGCATGGCCATAGCTATTCAACATATCTATGAAACCAGTTAAAGGTTATAGATATGTTAAATGACCACTCCAGAGATTAGCTGCAAAACTGTTGCTATGCAAAACAGCTCTCAATGGCCCTGCTCCATTTATCCCTTCTCCCTGGCCCTGGGTGGGGGGGGTGATGACATCTTAATATTTCCTGGGCACCCTGAGCTCTGGACCCTATTCCAAATCCTTTTCTGGGGCCCCCCTCTTGGCTGTGCCCTGTTACAGTATAACCTTGGATCAATGGAAGATGAATATACAAAATTTCAAAGACTATTTGTTAGAAATGAAATTAATTTCAGAAGAGACTTACACATTTTTGACATGTATCTACCATGATTTTATTTTCTGTGTTTCTGCATTTGGAGTGCAAGACTGAATATTTCTCTGAATTATCTGTCTGTTTCAGTTTCACAAAAGGAAATCAGTTAAGCTGAAAACAAACTATTGCCACAAAGAAGAAACAGTGTTTTTGGACTTTAGAGATGAGTGTATGTGATTCTCAGAACTATCCTTCACTTTCTAATTTGCCAAACTCTGAGTGGCACTGTGAATACTTTCTCATTACTTAAATAACCAGTGTAGGGTTGGCTAAATATAAAGAATGGCTTGGTGTCCTTAACAAATAAAATTAAGAATTAGAGTATTGCAGAGGTTTAGATTTTTTTCCTTCTTGAAATTTTTACATTGTTTGTACTCTGTTAGCAGCCCTTATTTGCCATAAATTGGTCGATAAGTTAGCCAGAAACAGAAGCTTAAAAACATTTGGCAAATTGTTTCTTCAGATTTAATTAGGAATGCTAAATTATTGAACACCATAGACTCAAAATCTGTTCCCTGTTTATCTTTCACCTCTGTGAAGAGAGAAAATAGTAATTTTCTAACAAGTTTCTTGAACTTGTATTTGGAGGCAATATACTGTAGTGGTAAAGAGCATATTCTTTGGGACCACACTTCTGGGTTTGAATTATATCCTACATATTTTTTACTTATTCAGGTTTCTTAATTATGAAAAGAAGATAATCGTAATAACAGTTTGAAGTTGTGCTGAGGTTAAAAGAATTAGTACATATAAAGTGCTTAGAAGGGCCTGGCATGTAGTAAGTTTTCAAATGTTCATTTTAAAATTCTTGGCCAGTCCTTCTCTATCTTGTGTAGTTTCTTTCTTTTGAGTACAAGTATAAATGTGTATCCTGTGTGTATGTGTGTGCTCCAAGTGTCTGTCATTTGAATGGCCCACATTCCTCCTACCTTTGGGGTTACCTTTTCTAACAATATGGCCCCAACTCTACTCCTTATATATTATGGGTTGTCTCAAGTCTTCTCTAGTGTTACTGGGCCTTCCTAAGGGGAGGGAGCTTAGGGTTCTCTTGCTGTAATTTCTTGCTCCTACTAAGTATTACCACTACTTCCCAATGCTTCTCCTTATGGCTGATGATTTTTATTTGCATGAAGGTTTCTATTTCCCTTATAGCCTCAAAGCTCCACTAACTTATTGCTTTTGTATAAAAGATTGTTACTGGAGGTTGGGAGAAAACTGAAGAATATTAAGCGTTATACACTACAGACAGCAACATTAACTATCCTTAAGTTCTTTGGTCTCCTTGCTGCAGGGAAGTTCTCAGTAACTGTTTGTCTTGTGGCTCCTCACAGCCTCTCCTATTTACTCCTTTCCTGACTCCTCCCAGAGAGCCACTCCCCCAGCCCAGCCTCTTCTTCCTGAGAGACAACCAGCAATCTCCTGGATTCTTATTTTATTATGTACAATGGAATATTAAGTATTTGTTCTTTACTTTCAAACCACTTCTTAGGGGCTTTTGCCTTTCTAGGCCAAAAAAATAAAAATGAAAACAAAAATAGAAAAGTTTTATCAAGGAGATTTCTGATAAAAGGTATTCCTCTTGAAGAGGACTTTCACCTTCTTTCTAAAGCAAAACAGCACTATTAAGTAATAAAGCTTTATGTGATTATGGAAATGGTCTCTAATCTGTGCTGTCTAGTGAGTTTTCTAACAGCCACATATGCCTATTTAGTCTTTGAAAAGTGGCTACTGCAACTGAGGAATAGTCAATTAACTTAATTTAAAATTTGAAGAGCCACATCATGGTCAGTGATACTATGTTGAACACAGTTTTGCACTGTGCTTCAAAGTGCAGACAGATTTTTCTTCCTGTTTTACATCTATTTGTTTTAGTTTTTTGAATTAAAATGTAAACAACTTAAAATTTTATTTTTTACATTTAGTTTAGTATATAGATGCACCCATACTTCTATACATTGAAGCTTTTAGAAAATTAGTGGCAACACTAAGTAGGTTTTATCTAAATTGGAAGTCTCAAGAATTTTGCTTCAGGAATTTCTCAACACAGGAACTAGCTTTATCTTTTTATGATATTAACTTGTTTATTCTCAAAAAATATGGAAGGATTTACGAATAGTCTGAGAATGTGGAGCCCACGAGTTTCACACTTGCTGCTATGCTGAAGGAGATGCTGTGGGAGGGGGTCTCGATCATCTGAAGAGCCCCACACGGACAAGGCTAGCACCTCCAACAAGCTGCTGCTGACCTCCAGAATTGCTCCACCCCTGCTGCTGTAGCTGCTCCTGCTGTAGCCAGCAACTGCTTCATTCTGGAAGCCAAAGGCAGGAAGCAGCTCTTCTTCCCCTACCTTTTGATCTGCTAGTGTCTCCTGATGGCAGAACCTAACAGGAAACCAGCTGGCAAGAAGCCCAGGAAATGTAATTTGCAGAATCCCAGCACCAAGTGCAGAATGGAGTGTAGAAAGGCAGGTGCGGGGGCTGAGAGGTAATAGGTAAATGAGAGGTGTACCTTGCCAGAAGCAAATAATGATGAAAAGTTAAGCAGGTGTTTTTGGTATATGTTCGTGTGTGCATGTATGTATGTTTATCATTACAAATGTTTATTATACACATTCTTCTCTGCTTTTTTTGTTTTACTTGTTTGATTTCAGTCATTTTATACTGGTTTTTAAAACTTAATAGTTGCCTTTTTATGCTTATATGCTTATAGGGTATCATTCTATGAAATGTGCCATGGTATATTTCAGCAGCCCCCCATTTATGGGCATTCAGGTTATTTCCAGTCTTTTGCATTTACAAACAATACTTTAATATTAATTGTTGCTGAGTGTGTGTATGACACATGTGACCATATTTGTAGGATAAATTCCTAGAAGAATTGCTACATTAGACAGAATGTGTATTTGTAATTTATAATTATCATGTACAAAGCATATGACATGTCTTACCTCTGCCCTTATGATTCAATATTTGGTTCTGAATTTATATAGAAATGCTGAAAAGACTAGATGATATGATAGAAACACAGTATAATCACAGATGAGAACCTCAAATGCAGAATATGGCAGTGGAAATGGGCCTAGAGATTTACCTGAAAGTTATAGGAGAATACAACTTTTTCCTGGGCAAATGGTGGGAAGAAAAGTGGATGATTAAATAGCAAAGAGCTCTAGGACACTTCGAGGCTGAGATTTGAGAGAAATTGATAGATGCCACTCAAACATATAAACAAGCCTGAAGCCTATGAAAATCAGTACAACAGAAAACGCCTCTTCATAGAGAGCAGAATTGTTTCTAAAATGCCTGTTACCGTTTAGAGGTATTTCCTGGCCATTCCTCAACCCCATCCGTCATCAATGCATGTAGCTAAAAAACTTAAACTACAGAAGTTAATATGATTTTTAAATGAAAGTCTTTTATTTTATAATCACTGTTGATGAATGCTTTTCAGGTTGTTTCTAATTTTCATTGTTTCTAGCAATACTCAATGAATGTGCCTTGGTTTTCTATAGATTAGAGTTTTGTTTTCCTGGCTATAATTTTATGCATTTTCTAAACAAGTAGTAGCAATTAGTTTGGAAATAAAAAAAACCACTATGGAAACATACCCCTATGTAGAATCATCTCTTCTTTAGAAATACCTAAAGCATTAATTATTTATTCATTAACTATAAAAAGATAGCTTTTGTGTTAAATTCAATATGATGAACCAAAGTTATAGTTGCTTCTGCTACAGCTTTGCAACTGCAAGTGAGAAAGATGAACTTTACTCAGTATATAGAAAAGAATATTATAAGGATGAAAAGATGATGCACGTGAACCATTTTGAGTTTCTCCGAGGAATAATATGTTGTAATTTTGCTTAAAATACAAATGCATTCCCTTCAGACGTTCTCTGATAAAGACCATATAAATATAAACCATAGAGGTATTTTCCTAGTGCACTTTATTTTCTGAAACAGCCGATGACTGACTGTGAACCCTGTAAGGTGCAGGAAGCAGACGTGGTGTCGTGGGGTTTAGACTGGGAGTCTAATCCCACCTCAAGCACAGTCTGGCCCTGAGACCTGGTCATGCCACTTTAACTTGTGTAGAAGTTACCTCGTCAGTTCTCCTCATAACTGAGAATAGTATGTGTGCTGTAACAGTCGTAGTATGTGAAGTCAAGGTAAACTGAGATGAAATGTAGAGACCCTACTTTGAGAAACTTGTTGTTTGTTATGTTGATTAGGATGATTCCGGGGATTAGGAATATTAGTGTGTCTGGGCACATCTGTGAGGTCCATTATACCTTTATAAGAAGTTACCACATAGTGAAAAAATGTTAAGAGAAAAAATTGAGGGAAAGATGAGACACAGGTTTTTGATTACTTTATACCTTTAGTGGGACATCAGAGTTACAGTCATCATAAGACTCAGTAAGTACTATTTCTTATTTTTTCATGAACCAAGAAGATATAAGATCTATTGAACAGTGGAAATTACCAGATAAAAGGTAGCATAAATATAAAAATTATTACTGCTTAGAAGAATGAAAGGATATGGCTTGGATTTATATGACATGTTATGATTCATTATTCATAGTCAGTCTTTATAAGTTCAAGTTTATGGATTCCTAGAGTTTCTCCTTTTAGCTCTTTTTTAAAATAGCTAATCTTTAGAAAACTTCTCTGGTTTTTGAGAGGAAATTACTTGTCTACTTCAAGGTTCCCATTGGTTTACATGTTATGTTCTTAAGAACTCTAAAAAATGCTCTGAAGATTTTTCGTTTTCTTCCTTAGAGAGGCTTTTTTTTTTTTTTTTAACATTTAGGGCCACCTTCTGAGTTCCTATCTTAAAATATTTTTAAAATTCCTTTTGGGATAAGAAGTCCTAATGTCTGCTACAGTAGGTAATAGAAAAGCTTTCTTGAATTTATAATTATAGTTGTTTACTTCCTTGTAGTGTTGGGGAATATAGGCATATTTTGTTAATTGGGGTATTGTTAAACAGTTTTTAGCTATTTAAACTAAAAATCTAAGGCATATAAAGTCTGTCAAGAAAGTATCCATCCATGTAATACAAAAAATAGAGACATTTATTTTTTTGTCTATTTGAAGAAGATAGATGCAAAAAACATTGTACATAGGAAAATGACATCTCAGTTCTCTTTGAAGTAGGCTCCTTGGGACCTCACACAGTTCTCCCAATCACCATCGGCTGCCTTGTTGTCTTTTCCTGAAACTCATTGACAATCTGAAATCTCTTTTCTTTCAAAGATGACTTTAGTTTTAGGAAAAGCCAGAAGTCGCAGGGTGCCAAATCTGTACTTTAACGGGGCCGAATCACCTGGATGACTTGATATTTCACCAAAAAACTCTGCACAAGATACAATGTATGAGTGGGAGCATTGACATTCTCCAGTTGCCTGTAGCCGCAGCCTTCTGAATCATCTGAAAAGTTTCTTTGCAGAGGAACGCTGAAGCAAAATTTGATGCAGATTTCGTGCTCTACTCGCTCACTTGCTTTGACTGCAGTGGCTACACAGTACACATGCTCACTCAATGGTATCTACCACCTCCCCTGACTGGTAGAGTGAAGTCGTCATTGTTCACACATGCACATTCCAGTCCACTCTTCTTGGCTTCCAGGTTACATTGATGTCCCACAAACCGTTCTTGTTATATTAACAATGGTTGGACTTTTTCCCGACAGACCTCATATACATAAAGATTATTATGTTCCAGGCCGGATCAACTTCATTAAAATTATAAATCACTTCTTACTATTTTTCTGTTTTTTTCCCTTTCTTCACTGTTCTGTTTTCTTCCATAGCATTTGGTACCTTCTAATAGAAATACCTTCTCTTTGTGGGGGGCTTTCTTTGTTTATGGTCTATCTTCCCTGCTAAAGTGTAATATCTGTTTATTGCTTTCCAGTGCTTAGAAAAGCCACTGTATAACTACCCTCTCAGTTCTTTTTTCAATTTCTCAATTAATTTTTAAGTATTTAGAACTTTTAATTTTGGAGGATATTGAGCTAAGTTTAAAATTTTTTATTATAGTGGACTACAACTCATCTGAATATAAAGAATTGGGAAGTTAATATCATCTTTTTTAAACTCTTATTTTATGGAGGACACATGCCTTCTTTTTTCCATGCCCCAAATCAGAAATTTATTTAAAAATTCAATCCTCAGGGCATAATTTAGAGTTGGTATTAATGAAACCCAATCTCTTGCAAATTTCTGGGTTAGTGGCGATAACTGATTTTCATGGCGTTAATAACTTTGATTTTGATGCTGAAATACCTTGAGAGCCTGAAATACCTTCTGAAATTCTGGTGCAAAGGGAAACAATTTAGGAAAATAATGGTAGCATCTTCTCTCATAGACTATTCAGTCAACAGGTTACTATATAAAATGACTACTTTTAAAGCTTGAGTAAAGAATAATATGAAAATGGTTAAAATCTTATGTATTTACCTTAGTATTTTAAAGTGGGAAATACTGCTTTGTAATAGCTATGGGGAAGTTGTTACTAGGAAAATATTTAATATTTCTTTTATTCCTTTTAGATAAGATGGGAAAAAAACATCACATTGGGGGAACCACCAGGATTCTTACATTCTTGGTGGTGGTAAGTATCTTTTTTTTTCCATTTTTTCCAGATTGACTATACATCTCAGTAGGCCTGCACTATAGCTGTTTATGATTTCATACTTCTCTTTTATTCTTTTTCATTTTCTACAATTATTTTCTGAAAGATAGCACTAAAAACATACAAAATCAAAATGAGCATTAGTGTTGCTTAATTTAAAGATATTATTGTATCAAGCTGAACTTAGGACCAGTATGTGGAATCTCCAACTATAAATATGATTCCGTATTAGTCAACTTCAGCTGTCATAATAAAATACATAGACTGGATGGGTCAAACAACTGAAGTTTATTTTCTCACAATTCCGGAGGCTTACAGTCCAAGATCAAGCTGCTGGTGTGATCTCTTTCTGGTGAGAACTCTCTTCCTGGCTTGTAGATGGCTGCCTTGTTGTGTATTCTCATGTGGTAGAGAGAGAGGTGAAATGGCACATGGTGCTAGCTACCTGGCTATCTGGTATCTCTTTTTATGAGGGCCCTAATTCCTTCATGAGGGTTCTGTTGAAGGCCCAGTTGATATTCAGAACGTACACATTTCACTGTAGCATCTGTATGCCTAGATGTGTTACTTTTCTATAGCAGCAATTGGTAGTCCAGGTATTTGCAGTAAGTTAGACTTTTTTTTTGCATTTCTTCAATAGAAGCATTTCCTGTTCAGTACATTATACCCTCATCTCTCAGCATCTTGTTTAAAAGAAGAAACTAAAGCTCTCTTTTAGTACTTTGCACGTGGTTTCCTCTGTACGTTATTAAATACCATCATCTTTTTAATCTCTCTTCTGAAAACATGGCTTACTAGAAGTGCTGTGGTGAATGGAACCGCACGTGGTCAGTTGTGGTTGTGGGTTTCCCTGTTTGTCTCACACATGTATGGCAGGAACAGGTGCAGTTCTTTGGTTAGAGTTGTTCCTGTATTTGGAACAACGGTTAGTTGCAGTTAAGCGCTACCATCGGACTGCTTTCCTGGGTTATGAGACCAATTGCTTGTAATGTATAATACTATAAAATTCAATGTTTTGTTTTATTTAGTATGCATTCCTAATACCCAGATATACACTGTAAATTCTTAACTGTTTGTTGAGTGTAATTGAATCTCCTCATCTGTTAACACTCTTACCTTTTGTGTTTTTACAACCAGGGCTACAAAGTGCATAAGAAACCATTTTAGAGTATGTCCCTATTAGATTAGTGGGCTCACAAAGTGAAGATTTTAAGTTTTCCATTTTAGAATTAATTCTATTTTTTGTACCTATTTTTCGTTTACTCCTTTTCTCATGAATTTAACCTATTCTTGTATTGCAAATGGTTGATAATAACTTACTGAATACTTAGGCTTTTTGCTTCCACCAGACTTTAGCATTTTTGGTCTCAGATATCAGAAGGTGCAGCTCTTAAATACAATTAATAGTATCATAACTGAGATATGTACTGGTTATATATAATAGCAGTACGGGAGGAATATGTCAGCTCGGGAGCATTAGAAAGCCTGAACAGAGAAAGTGAATCTGAGACGAGTTGACAGTGGGTGAGGGAATCTGAGATGAGTTAACAGTTGGGTATTTTGGCAGCAGAATAGTATGAAGTCTTACAAGGGATGATCGTGCGTTCGAGGAATGATAGGTAACTTAAACAGTTGAATTGTAGGTGTAGTACTATGAAGTGATAGAGTATAAGGCCAGAGACAAAAGCAGGGGCCAGGTTACAAAGTCTTGGAATAGGTCAGGGGTTTTTGAGTAAAGCTCAAAGATTTTAAATAAGGTACATAACATGATTAGATTTGTGCTTTTAGACACTCACTGGGCATCAACGTAGAAATGGATTGAAGAGGGTTGAGAACAGGGGCAGAATCTAGTTTACAAGGTAATGGTAACTGTCCAGTTGAAAGGTGATTAGGTGATGGATCCCAGATAGTGAACATTGACTGGAATAGTTAGAGGTGAAGGAGGAGGTTGTCAGGTTATATAGATTTGGATGGTGGGATGAACAGTGGTGCCACTGGCTGAATGAGGGAATATAGAGAGAACAACAGGCTTTGGAGAGAAGCCCGTGATTTAATTTGGACAGGCTAAATTTTGAGATTCCTGTGTGACATTCAGTTAGAGATGCTGTATACAAAGTCAGAGATCTGAGTCTGTTACTCTTAACACAGGTCCATAATGGCTTGGGAATTACCAACATTGACCATACTAAAACTGTCCAGTGTCAAACGTAAGAGCAAGGCATGGGGTTGGAACCCTGGGAAAAGTCAACATTTAAGCATGAATGGATGAAAAGGATCCTCCAAGGAAAATAACTGGAGAGGAAGAAGGGTAATCAGGAGAGAATAATGTGTGGGAATCGGGAAAGACTTTCAAACAGGAGATTAAATTCTGCAGCAAGTGTAAATAAAAAGGCCCAAAGTTTTTGTCTGAATTGGGAAGTAAGGTGAACTTTGGTGGTCTGGGGCACAACATTTTCAGTGGCATGCTGCTGCAAGTGAACTTTAGAAGGCTGCTGTAATGCCTTTGTCCAGTTTGACGCTTACGGAGAGTACTTGAAGTGTGAGGTGGCATGTGTGGTAGATTTAGGGTTAACAATGGAACAGGAACTAATATTGTAGATTTTAAAATAGATTTTAGCACTGCATATAGATCGAGCTGGAAAGAGTCGGAGGGGTTAAAGATGTGTGAAGAGAAATGCACACGCACAAAAATGCAGAATAAAGTACAGGAGAGAGGAGAGGCCAAGGCCCTGCAGAGGAGAAGGTGAATTTCTTCCTTTAGTAAGGGATCGAGAGTGTGTTTTTACTTTCTGGAACTGTCTTTCCTTGTTTCCGATGTGATTTCCACCGTCACTGTTTTTTTCTTTCTCAGTTTGCGCGACGCCCACGGCTGAACTGTTTCCCATGCCTCCCGTCTTCTTTACCTTTACCTGGATCAAGTCCTCTTTGAAAACTCACTTCTTGTTTGTCACTTTGATAAAAGTTTCCTACTCTTTAATAAATTTCATGAGTTGAAGTGCCAAGACACTTCTTTATCTGAAATTAATATTAATTTGTGTAATTAAAAATTAAATTTCACTTCGATTTTTGTAATTTAAAAATATACACTTAAAAACTTCAGTTTTAAAGTTTTAATGGTTTAAACCATGTTTCACTTTTATTTAATTACATGTATACATAATTAAAAACCTTTGAAATAACATTGGGGCAATGTATCTATATCCTGAAATTAAGTATATATCACATTGCAGAGAAAGTAAACTATTGTTTTGGAAATCCAGAGAAAATATTATTACGGGAATTCAGTTTCTCTCACCTGGTCGTTGGCGATCAAACCCTGCAGTGTGTTAGTGCTCTAATGATTGTAGAATCTAATGGGTGACATCAGGCCTAGCTAAGAACAACCAAATACCCATACAAAAAATAGCATTGAAATTAGTCCACTGGCTCACTAGAATGGCATAATATTTATCATTGGCAAACTCGTTCCCACTTACCATGTATATCTTGCCTGTAATAAGCATCGTTAGCTAATTGTTTATATGAATTAAGTTAAACTGAGCAGCAATATAAGACAATGTAGGTGACATCTAGGATAGAAAGAATATAATCATGGTGAGAAGGGAATAAAAATTCTTGGCCAGAGGGAACAAAGAACAGAGGTGGTCAGGCTATAGAGACAATACAGACTGTGTCTGAGATAGTAAGAAAGGAATGTGGAATACAGAGGAAAGTGTGTTAGGGAAAAGACAATGTAAAAAACTGATGGCATCTTCCACAAAATGCAAAGGGTTAAAAAAAGGAAGTTAAGGCAAATTTTACTCAGTTAATAAGAGAACTTTTTTCCTCACCATACTACTTATATGAGACTTTCCTAGAATACTTCTTAGTAACTTTATACTTTGTTTAAAAGTACTTTTGCATATGCCATCTCTTTTTACCTACAAAAACCTATAAGATATATAAGAGATACTTCTCTTTTTACGTAAGGAAACTAAGGAAAAAAACTATTTGCTCAGGGTCAAATTTAGAATTAGAATCGAAGTTTTCTGATTTGTAACCAGTGCTTGTCTCTGCAACAGATATTATTTCTTAAACACGGAACAGAATTTAGTGGTCCCCTATTAATAAGAAATTAATAATAGTTTCCTTTGGAGCGTCCTGAGTGGTTAATTCCAGATACTAGATATAAATGGGACTCAGAAAAGTTGTCCCTTCTAAATCTAGTCTAGACTGAGGCATCCATGGATCACTGGCAGCTGCTGGTAGCATGAGGGGTGGTTGCCAGGGGAGACTCAGGCAATGAGTTGGAGTGCAACGGTCAAGGGTAGGCTAACAAAGTGCTCTCTGTCTTATCTAGGACAGGTACCTACCACATTCTTATAACAGCTGATGCTGCTCAGACTGCCAGAGTGGTATAAACTTGCCCATAATCAGCATAAGGCATCTTGAAACAAGAACTCTGAATACCATACTCTCATGAGAGGCAAAATAATGTAAGAATTAAAAAGTTCAAGCCCAGCTCTGCCAGTAACTAACTGTGTTACCCTTAGGCAAATTACTTAGCATTCCTAAGCCTCAGTTCCCTCATCTGTAAAGTGGGAATAATAATAGGAGGATTAAATGCTGAGTATGTAATGGTTAGTATATGATGCTTGAATTTAGCACATACTTATTAAGTGTAAGCTATTTTGATATTTTAAAGTAAAATTGTATTAGTAACCCAGGAATATTGTGAAAATTTTATGATAGTGGGACAAAAATCAATGCTTACATTTAAAAAGTATTTAAAAAGTATTAAGTGATGCTAAGAAATAAGACAACTACATGTACATGGAAGTTCTAAGGTGATGAGCAGGTACATGTGTATTTCATGTAAAACCTTCCTTAGTCTTATGCATGGATAGTTTTCTTCATTCACTGATAATATAATTTGGGGCCATGAAGAAATAACTTCTTTAATTATTAAGACTTGAATTTATAATAATGTGGCTTGCTCTTCAGAAAAAAAGTTTTCCCCAAAGGTTTTTTTTCTTTTAATTTTTATTTTCAGATATCCCTAAATCTGACCAGTGGCATAAAGATTATATAATTATATTAGCATCCCATTGACTGGGATGTATCTGGTATGTTTATTTACCCTTGAAGACTCCTCTGAGAACGACTTAGCTTTCTGTGTTCCTCAGATATACTGACAACCAGCTAAGTTATTACAATTCACATCCTCAGGATCGGAGGAAAACAGTCTTTTGATAAGAAGTCTCAACTTGGGAATCCTGTGTTCTCCTTTGTTTATGTGGGGGAAATTTTAATAATAAATAATATAAAAACAAAGATTTCAACACTTTGCAAGTTTGCTTCTATTTCACTTGGAAAATACAGATTTTTCACTTGTGTCTGATTAAGAATACAGAAACTACAAGTCTAAAGCATTATTTATGATGATGCGTTCACCACTTTTCAAGGTTGCTTTGGCCATACACTTTTACGATTTTACACACATTTTACAGTTATTATTTTCTGTGGAAAAGTGCCACTGGAATTTTGATAGGGATTGTATTGACTCGGTGGATTGCTTTGGGTAGTAGAACATTTTAACAACATGAAATCCTCCAGTCCATGGCACAAAGTATCTTTGCATTTGTTTGTGTCTTCAGTTTTTTTTAATAAGTTTCTCATAGTTTTCAGTGTATAGACCTTTCACCTCCATGGTTAAGTTTATTCTCAGATATTTTATTCTTTTTGATGCAATTCTGTTTCATAATTTTTCATTCTGATAATTTGTTGTTAGTATATAGAAACTAAACAGATTTTTATATTTGATTTTTGTATTTTGCAAGTTTACTGAATTTATTTATTATTTCTGTAGTAATCTGAATCTTTTTTTTCTTAGTCCATCTAGCTAAAGATTTGTCAAGTTTCTTGGTCTTTTTAAAGAACCAGCCTTTGTTTTCAATTTTTTAAATTGTTTTTCTCTTCTCTATTTCATTTATCACTGCTCTAGTCTTTAGTATTTCTTTCTGCTAGCTTTGGGTTTAATTCGTTCTTTTCTAATTCCTTAAATTTTTAAGTTATGTTGTTCATTTAAGATCATTCTTGTTTTTAAATGTTAGTATGTATAGCTTTTAATTTCCCTCTTTATTCTGCTTTTGCTGCATCCTGTCAGTTTTGATTGATCGTACTGTTTTTGCCCTCTTTTTCCTTCCTTGCTTATCTTCTGTCTGGTTGTTTTATCCATTAATGAGAATGAAGTATTCATGTCTATAACTGCTGTTGTAAAACTGTGTATTCCCTCCTTGGGTAAATGTTCTTAAAAGGATATAGTTCTTTACTGTTATTCAAAGAGATCATATATAGGTAATATAGGATTGTTAGACATGAAATATGTAACTATATCCTATTTTACTAACTTGTTTTATTATCCCTCATCTTGATCTTACAAACTTTTCACCTCCCACTAAATCCATAAAGGGGAAACTTAAAAATAGAAGTAGACCAATGTTATTATTCAAAGATAAGTATTTAATTTAGTTATATATGTATAAATAATTATTTAAATATTTCATAATGTTTAGGGTATACTCCAATAATAAATTATTATTCTTCCAGTCAGTTTTGTAAGACAATCTTTTAAAAGTAATACTGGAATGATTTTTTAAAAGATTTTACTTATTTCTTTTTAAAAAGAGGGGAGGGAGAAAGTGAGGGAAGGACCATCAATGGTCCTCCTCTTGCACGCCCCAGACAGGGGGACCTGGCCTGCAACCCAGGCATGTGACCTGATTGGGAATTGAACTGGCAACCCTTTGATTCACAGGCTGGCGCTTAATCCACTGAGCCACACCAGCCAGGATTGGAATAATTTTTAAAAGAGATTGTATGGTATTTGCTAGGAAATCAGGAAATAAGAGAGAGATAAGTTGTTTGTCACAATATCACATATAATATTGTATGTTTAAACTAAATATACTTTATAAGGACTATCATGATAAAATCTTGATTGTTAGAGTTTTGAAGTTCTTTAAGAACATGAAAGTAGAAATAATGCAACATACTGTAATCTATAACATACCCGATCCAAGTGGAAAATGTACCCTTGTATGTCTATAATTCTTATACTTTTTATCCCAAAAGAGATATGGGGAGGCCAAGTACAACTTGTAACTACTTTCTTTCTCCTAAAATAATTGAAATTTACTTAAATTATTTTGTCTTCTATTGTGTTCTTTGAGTTTCTTGCTTATTGCAAAAAATTTAAAGGCAATAAATGCTAATACTCAATCTTTCAGATTTTTTTTCACTTCTTAAGGTAATCTTATTTCACTGAATTGTATTATAAGGCCTACAGACTGTGTCCAGACTAAATGAGATTTCAAGGGTGAAAACAAAGAGACCAGGTTTAAGTTGCCAAGTTTTCTGATGCTATTGTTAATGTTGCCCTCAGCACAATGACCTGCCTTAACAATATGTATACATTTTAAGCTTTTATGCAAACTAATTACAGTGTTGATATTATTAATGATATGTTAACTGTGAGTCAGACCCTTTGTTTATGTTATATATCTTAATTTTCTAAACAACCCCATTTCATAAAGGAGGAAATTGTGTTCTGATCTGTTTGAGCAACTTGAGCTAGTAATTAGTCAGGCTGGTTTATCACCAGGAGTACTTTTAGACATTTGCTTTCCTAATTTTTGAAACCCTTGCTAATGCTCATAATTCATTTTATAGATGGAAGGATGACCAGGGCCATATGTCTTATAAGCAGCGTAATTATTTTTTCTCCAAGTTTCATCTTGTTTTTTCCCATTTTTCTTGGATAGGAGAAAAAACAGCATGGATTTTTAAATTTTCAACATTAGTAACCTATTTTGGTATTTGCAAAGGAAAACAAGAGGAAAAATTAAGAAAACATTTGTTTGACTAATGTGATTTATTTTTATTTTTATTTTTACTTTTTTTCCAAAAAGCAACTGTATTGGTTTCCTAAGGCTGCTGCCCCGACAAACTGCCACAAACTGGGTGGGCTAGGGGGAGCTTTAGGGGGCTTGGGGGTAGAGGTTGGGGGAGGCTGAAATAACAGAAATGTATCCTCTCACAGTTCTGAGGCAAGAAGTCTGAAATCAAGAAGTAAGCAGTGTTGGTTCCTCCTGGGGTCCCAGGGAAAGGCTATGTTCCTTGCAGGCTCCCAGCTTCTGGTGGTTGCTAGGAGTGTCTGGCAGGCCTGGCCTCGGGCAGCGTCCCACCCATGGGACTTAACGGTGAGGCTGTGGGCCTGTGAGTTGGACAATATTATCCTGAAAAATTTAATGAGCCACTTTATTCTTTAATGATTAAACTAGGATTTTTTACTGTGTTTATTCTTCATGAAAAAGTTGTGAAAATTATTATAATTACTTCAATCATTTGTCATGTAAAGAGACAAAAATGACAGTTTAAAATATTTTTAAAAATCATTGCATCCTTTTAGAAAAATCATATTAGCATTTCCGAGCCATGGCTAGATTATATCCTATTATTGCATGAAGAGCCTTGCCTGAATTTAAGTCTTTCAAAGAAATATTTGTCTTGAAGAAAACACTTTATATAAAATTAATATCTTATGTTTTTAGAATTATTCTCTCTCATTTGGCATTATATGATTTTTTAATGCTACCATGATTACTTTTTTAGTGTATTTTGGGATCTCTACTGTGCAGCTCCAGAAAGAAGGGAAACATGTGAACATTCAAGTGAAGCAAAAGCCTTCCATGATTATGTAAGTTAATATATCATTTTACTGTTATATTGTCCATGTTCTTTTTAACCACTGCTCTTGAAAAATGCATTAGACTATCTATTCTTTTCCATTGGTGCTTAAGAAATTGTTCTTTCTTTCTTGAAAAATAGACTCGTAACTTTGAAAGTAAATTACAAATGGGTGGTTTCAGTCTTGTTGAGCAGGCTTAAGGTGAAAGAGTAGCCTGAAGTCCAAGCTGTTAAAGGTATTTGTCTTTAAACATGACTAATTTATGAAGTTTTAGATTTTATAAGAATTATGTAGTAATTTATTTCATGAAGAGTCATCATAAATGTTATACAAGTGATATTGTACATAAGAAATATATTTTTCTCTTGCTAATTTTGGATAAATTATAAGAATAATTTCAGTCATAAGGCTAAATATCCCTTTTGCTGAACTCAGTTCCACAAGTAAAATTTATCGTGAATTAAAAGAAATACAAATTCTGTGCAAAAGTGAAAATGTGATTTAAAAAAATTCTTGAAGAAGGGCAGTGAACTATCCTTGGCTTGGTGATGTACATGAAAATTTTATTAGAAGAACCACAAATGAGATTTTAGAGAGTTGATGGTATGAGAGAGAAGAATTGTTTAAAAAAATTAAAGGTGAGGAAACAAGGAAGATTTTCTTTAGGGAAATAGGGGGAAAAAAGCAGTTAAGTGTTAGGAGACAGTGTTGTGAAGGGGCTGGGAAATCATTGTGTTTGCAGAACTAACCATGAAAGAAGAAACTGAGTTTGGGACAGAGGAAATCCAGTTCCCTTGGTTTGGAGGAAGTAGCCTTAGGCTGCAGCGTGAGGGAGATAACTGATAGTGAGTACCTGGAACTTAACTAGAGGGGAAAGGGATACTTGTTTAGCTGGTTGAAGGAAGGTGTCAATCTGTATATATTTTTTTAGAAAGCCTTAAAAACCAAGACCAGGATTCAAAAGGGAAAAATACTGTGTTCTTCCAAAGGAAATACTTTAGCCTTAAACTTAAAAGTAAAAATAGCCAGAAGAATGATAACCCCAAAAGTAGTGCACAAGAAAGTATGCAGATTTAAGAGAAGTGAAAACTTCAGCATCTGGCAGGGACAGCGTAATACTTGAAGCATTTGCTAAACTGATTTAAGTGATACTGCTTGTGATTACCTCATCAGATGTGGATTGGACTCAAAAACTTGCTGTGTACTAAACAATAGCTCTCGAAAAAAAAGAGGCGTGAAAAGATGCTACTGCATATAAAGAAAAAGTAGAGAAAGGCAGATAAGGCAGGGCCCAGGACTCAGTATTTATCTGAATAATATCATTCTCCTTTTTCATCTTTGGCTGATGGCAGAAAATAAAGCTGAGAGCTGACCAGGAGGAGTATAAGGAATCTGGCTGGCGCAGAATACTCTCCGCTCTCTCATATACCCAGGAAGACATGCCTAGATTTGGTCTGTCAGTCACGGGAAAATTTTTTAAAATACCAACTAGTTTTGACAACTAGATTGCATTAGATACCACCAGTGTTCTATTCTAAAGGAGATATAATATTTGTTGGTGTACATTTTAAGAAACTAATTACATCAGTACTCTTTCAAATCCCATTGTATTGAAAGATGCACCCTCCTGTTGACCATGGAAGTCTTACAAGGAATACAGAATTAACTTAGCATTTCTTTTAGTACCAATGTTGTCATAACTCTTATCATCATTATTATAATCATTTTAGATTCATAAGGCACTTTCAGTGTTTCAAAGAGTATTCACACTTACTGGCTTTAGAAACCCACTTCAGTATTTCAAGGTTTTTGGAATGAGCATTGACCAGAAGTAAAAGTAGTACAGTAGGTTTTAAAGGATGAACAACCTCTTAGTGTCTAATTTGAGCCTAAGAAAATGTACTTGTAGAAAAGGTCAGCATTTTGTTCTTTAATTTATTATGAATCTTAACATGTGTTTTATCTGATGTTTCATAGTTTTATCTTAAATACTAGTTTTAAGAGATTTAATTTGTTCTTAGCATTTTATTATACCTTTAAGGCAACTTACTTTCAGTTGTAATGTATCTCCAAGTTATTTTTAAATGGAGGTTGATGAAAAGATGTAGTTGGACCAGTGTAATTTTTTATTACAATTGGATTTTTAGAAATACGTTTGTCTTCTGTAGTACATTTTTATGTTAATTTTCATGAGTTGGATTTGCTGAATTCTTAATAGTCAGTTTCTGAAAATTATCAATATAACTCATGTTTAATGTGTAGACATAGAAGTATGAGGACTCAGGGAAGAAAATGGGAAATAGGAACACAATATGATTTTGGTAAAATTCTAGACTGTTATATTCCTATATGAGGACCCACTGGGAACCCTTTCTGTAATAGTAATTAATATGTATACTGACTGAATTTCAAGGTAGTTCTTAAGGAAGCTCCCTGAAAAATATTTTTCATTATCTGCATCTTTAAAGTAAAAAAGAAATACTCACTTGGTAGTATTAATTCTTATATGTTTAAAAATTAGTCTCTGCTTATCTATAAGATTGAATGGATAATGAAAGATCAACTACTTTCTTTGAAAAAATAGTAGAGGCATTGTGAGGTAAATAATGAATAACTAAACAGGCTAATATGTTAAATTGTGATTATCTTTTGATACTGAGATTATGCACAATTTTTTTCTATGTACACTGTTTCTGTTTTTCAAATAATTATAGATAATATTAATTTTACATTCAGGAAAGTTACTTTAAAACAGGTTAAAATTTACCTTTGATTGAATTGCAATCTCTCTTCTGAAATTAGAAAATAAAATACCTAGTAAAGTAAAATTTAAATTAGAGGTGGTCATATGTGTTCATACCAGCATATTATATGCGTAGATATTTAGCATTTCTCATGACAGACTATGAAAGACTTTTTTATATGTGCACATATTAACATACATATCTTTAAACTGAATAGATATAATTTTGAGCCATTTTATAATTTTAGTCACCTTTTGGGGGGTAATTATTATCCCAGAAACATTTTTGGCTTATGGCTTTTAAAAATTCTTTTGGTTTGTTTTCCGAACATTGCTTCTTTAGAATGGATTTTTTTCACTTTATTATTTTATCTGTGAAGTAGTTATAGGTGCAGCATTAATATCCTCTTCCTTGACAGATCTCCTTGTTGGTACTTATTATGAAAAAAAGAGAAAACATTTAAGATTAATGTAAAACTTTGATTTTCTTGCATTTATATTTTTAAATAAATAGGATTTAGCAACTGTATGCAGTGCTAACTGTAAAATAATAACGTGTGTAGAAATCAACAGTTAGCAGTGTGCAAGGATGCACTTGTGGATGGCAAAGCTATAGAAAACACAAGGGAATGATTACTGTGCAAGTCAGGACAATGGTTGCTTATGGGAGGTGGGAAGAGGTTATGAGTGGAATGGGGCTCGTGGAAAGAAAGGGCGGCTGAGAGTGTCAGCTGAGTTCTGTGCTTCCTGACCACCATGGTGATTACTTTATAATAACCAAGTGTTTGTTTTGTAAAATTTCGTAGTGTCATAAATTTATTTTGTGTGGTTTTCTAGATTTGTCTTTTTAATTTTAAAATAATGAGGTTTTTTAAACACAGTTAAAATGATTCACTTTCAAAAAAAATATGCGCAGTGGTTTCTAACGTGTTTCCAGGCATCGTGTGGTCGCCCTACAGAACTGATGGCGGGAAATCCAGGGACGACCTCCAGGCAAATCTGGGCTCGTTTCTCCTCTGTTACTGCAGACACTAGAAAGCGTGCCTACCTGCCGATTTTCCAGAGGGGAGGAAAATCCAAAATGTTGGAGGAAGATTTAATAATTAGGAATTTACCTTACAAGTTTTTACTGTAGAACAATTATTTCGTCACATGGCTGGGAGATTTCTAGCTTGGCCCTACTATTTTTATCCTAGACAACTAAGTTCATATGAGCTGTAAAATTATTATTACCTATTAACAACATTATCATTAAAAAGTAAACCATCATTTCAGGTGATTAAATATAGTACCTTTTAACTCGATAAGTTTATTGGACTATATTTTATTTTCTTCCTGTCAGCATATTTTTATTTCACTCTGAAATCACAGGCAATGCTTTTGTGTGGAGGTAATTCATGTTTACTAGTTTTTTCTTGCTACAACTTAACATGCAGTTGTTTTATCTAACAATTTTTTATTCTTTCATTTCAAAAATGTCTAGGAAAATTATCAGTATATATCACCAAATTTCAATAAAAAACATACACAGTGATTATAATTTTAGTTATCTGGTATTAATGGAAGATTCCTTAATGGTCCTAAAGCAAAGATAAAGCCAAAATATATTATTGCCATAGAGTAATGATAATGAAATCACATTATGACAATGAACTCTTTGAGAGCAGAGAATTAGATTTGTTCTTCTCTAGGGTCTGCCAAATAATAGATGGTCAATAAATATTAACAGAATGCAGTAATCTGGGAAATTGGAAATGTTTCAAATCTTTTTTACAGATATTCAGGTAAAGTGATAGGCTTGAGTCATAATTGTTGATAATGTGCCTGATTTTTGTGTTCTTGCCAGAGTGTTTATAACATTGAGAAAGGGTTATGTTATAGGTTTGTTTTGATGAGCTACTTTTTTAAAGTGATATAGAAACATGTGATACTATGTAAATAAAATAATAAGAGAAGAATGGCACACTTCAAGAAGACTTTTTTACAGATGGTCATATTATTTAGGAAACACTTCTGTAGAAACTACTGCAAAGAGTTAGGTGCATTCTTTGCTATGATCCTGTAACATCCTTTGTGTCCCTCCTTAATGTCCCTGGTATTAGATGTTGTTAATGAGGTGTTTTCTTTAAGTTTGTGGTCTTCCACAGGGAACAGACCTTGTCTTATTTGTCATTTTCATTCCCGGTACCCAGCGTGGTGCCGACATGAGATGTTCTAGTTGAGTTTGGTGTTTACATAAATGAATGATTAAATAAAATATTGTCTA